ACTAAACACATTAAATCAAAATTTGCAAAGCTAACGGTATCACAAAGTAAAAATATTCACTTTTCTCCTGGATGTGACACTTTTAGGTTTGAGAAAATGCTCCACAGATTAACAGATGATTAAGATTTATTCTGGTTTTATTATTATGAATATGATTTGTTGCTCGAAAAAAGAGTAAGCTTGTGTTTTTATTTTTTTATTTGTCTGTCTTATTTTGTTAATTTAATATTTATTGACAATTTACTGATTTAAACCATTATTTGATTAGTATTGTTGAATTCAATTTTATACTTGGAAATGGGGGCAGATATTATAAGATCTTTTCTTCTTCTACTACCTTTCATTTCATTTTATTTTAATTCAATTCTTTTTAATATATATGTGTATTATTATTATTATTATTATTATTATTATTATTATTATTATCGGGTATTCTTTTTTCGTTTTTCTCTGATTTTGTTTTATGTTTTGAATGAATTGTTTTGTTTGCATGAAATGAAACGAATAAACTAAACTAAATGCGATGCTTTGTTTTAATAAAAAAAAATWAAAAAATAGACTCGTTTGAGTCTAAAACAGAAGTTACAGTAAATTTGAAAGAATCTGGCTCGAGATCACGAGCTCCATTAATTCTACTCCCCACTCAGATTGTTTGCTCTGAGGGGGTGTGAAACTCTTTTTTTTTTTTTTTGTCCCCGACTGTTGCTAAGCTTTTGAGGGCAATCCCCTTAGTGGGCTGTGGAACGCGTGGCATGGTGGTGCTTATCGTCTCTGGGCCTGCTGCTATGTAAAGAATGTGACCCAAGTGAGAGAGAGCGAGGCAGCCAGAGMGGAAAAATAGGGAATAAAGAAAGATATTCTGCTCTGCCAAACATGACTGGTTTATTAAATACGTACCACCCTGAAGAAGAATGCCCACAATTCTTTTTAGTGAGGCTTTAGAGTCGCATTAAAGCAAAACAAGTGCTTTGATACCAAATGTCTYTTCCCACAGAGACGATGACACTTCAGGAAAGTTGACGTTCACTTTGGACATCTCTTCTGAATGTAAAAAATATCCTTCTTTCAGTGCTCAAAGAGGCCCGGTCTCTCTWTCTCCCTCTGTCACTGCAGTTCACGACGTTGGAGCTGAAGCTGGAGGAGGAGCGSGTCTTCACAGAGTACGAGCAGGTGCCCAAGAAGAGGGCCAACTGCGTGGTCACGACAGCAACACTGCCTGAAAACATGGAGCGCAACCGTTTCCGCGACGTCGTCCCGTACGAGGAGAATCGAGTCGAGCTCGTGCCGAACAAAGAGAACAACACGGGTTACATCAACGCCTCTCATATCCAGGTGCGCTCCAAAGCTTCTTCAACTGTGGGGTTTTAACAAGCTTTTACAAAGAAACTATTTTTATATTGTTTATTTGTTTGTGTAGAAATCAGCAGGTGTTTTAATATAATTTTAAGCAGAAGTATCGACATATCAAAATATTTATTAACAAAAAAACAGAGGTAGATTAAGTACCCAAAGGTAGTAGCACTTCAACATATTTGTGGCCCATCATATCAAAATTAGGATTAAGTGAAATTTGGTCAAAATGACCTCATCACATTTTCAGATTTCTGGCTTTAAAAGCTACATTTTGATACCTGGATCATTCTGATGTCATGAGTGGATCCAGAGATATGACTTCATTTGTCTTGTTGATTACAGCAATACTATAATATTGGGTCTGAATACTAATTTTATGTAATTTTAATGAGGAATTTTTAAAAGAGGAAACTTTAAATATTATTTGAATATTAAAATTTCCCAGCCGGAAAGAAACAAAAACATTCCTAGCTCACAGGAACAATCTCAAAATTTTAAGACGTTTTTGCTACTGCACAAAAAAGTGCTTTAAAATTTAGTTTTATGATTATATTTCAAACGATGCATTGATAAGGCATTAATTCATTGTTTTGACAAAATGCACTTTTTGCAAACGTTTTAATCAAAACTATATTTCCCTATTTCTCCATTTCCCACTTTTAGACTTAATCCTCATTTCAATGTGATGGGCCACATTTGTACTCAAATAAAAATTAGCAATCCAAGAAAATACACAAGAGTACAAAGGTATTTCATTAAAAGGCTACTTGAGTACTGAGTAACTGATCATATCTGATTTAAAATTGTTTTAAATATCAGACAGATATCAAATATAGTTATATGCAAATTCTGGGGTCTTTCAAGACTTAAATGAAGTACATTTCAAATAATTGCAAAATAAAAAGTCCCAACAGAAAAAAACAGTTTTTCAAATCTAATTCTTTTCATTTCAAAACTAAATATTAATCGAGCAGCAATATTTCGTAAAATTACTTAAAGTAAAAAGTACTGTGTAGTAGAGCTACTCATAAGTGGTTTTCCCCCCAAAAAAGTTAAAATAAATGTAAATGAGTAAATGTAAGCAGTTATCGAGCTCCCCCTAAAACACAGCTTCATACAGACATAATATACATTTGTTTTTAAATCAACATCTTAAATTTTACTCGTTTTATCTTTTAGAAAACGCTACAGTCTCAGAGCTTTTCTGCAACTTTCATGTCATTCAGCCTAAATTAAAATGATTGTTTTTTTTTAAGGCTCTCTTGTGGTCATCTTTAATCAGTCAGGGGATGGCTTGAAGGAGAGGATGAAAAGGAGCCATTGAAAGCTGTTTGGGCCTTTAAGCTGTCAGAGCTCTTTGGATCTACTSAAGAATGTTGTCCAAACTCCAACCCTCTTAAGGAAACTTGAGTTTTTCTCTCTCATGCCAAGTAGAAAACAGTCTGAACAACTCCAAGTTTATAATGTTTAATGATCATTTTTCAAGATATCTTCCTTTAGAACAAAAGTCCTTGTTTGTTCTGTRTCCATCTCTTCATCCTGTTTACATTTAACAGTTTGACTTGATGAATCAGCTGAGCTTTAGGTAATAACAAAGTTAGGAGTTTGTTGATGTTGGTACTTTATTTTTATTAACAGGATGTTGAACTAAATTAAAAAAGCAGATAAAGAACAAAAAAATGTATTCAATAAAATAAAGCTTACTATGCTGCCCTCTAGTGGTGGATAAGATCATGATCATTACAGTTGAACTGAAATAACCTTTCTCCTAAATGTGTTTTCTTGATTTAAAAATTTTAATATCCCCCCMAAAAAAGCTGTTTTTGATGTTTATTTTTCCAGGTTATGATCAGAGGGGAGGAGTGGCACTACATCGCCACACAAGGCCCACTTGCCAACACCTGTGCCGACTTCTGGCAGATGATCTGGGAGCAGGGGGTCAACGTCATCGCCATGGTCACTGCAGAGGAGGTACACACAAACACACGGTTCTCAGTTCACCGTCACGTGAGAAATAAGACCAGAGCCACATTCTGTGACGCTTCCCTCCTCCTCCCCGAATCCAGGAAGGCGGCAGGTCCAAGAGYCACCGCTACTGGCCCAAACTGGGCTCCAAACACAACTCGGCCACCCACGGCAAGTTCAAGGTCACYACCAAGTTTCGCACGGAGTACAACTACTACGCCACCACGGGGTTAAAGGTCAAACACCTGCTGTCTGGCCAGGAGAGAACAGTTTGGCACCTGCAGTACACCGACTGGCCCGAGCAGGGCTGTCCTGAATACGTTCCCGGGTTCCTCGGTGAGTGTGACGATCGTAGCAGGTTTACGGTTCGTCGTCTACAGAGGAGCTCACGCTTCCCCGTCTTTCCCTGCAGCCTTCTTGGAGGGAATCCAGTCTGTGAGGAGACACACGAACTCCATGCTGGATACCTCGAAGAGCCTGAACCCACCGGTGGTGGTGCACTGCAGTGCCGGTGTGGGTCGGACCGGTGTGGTGATCCTGACTGAGCTCATGATCAGCTGCCTGGAGCACAACGAGGTGGGAACTCGCCCCAAAGACTACATAAGGTCATCTGTTTTTATTTATTTATTTATTTAATATATTCTCTCTTTCCTTCTACCCCTTCCAGCCAGTGGAGGTTCCCACCATGTTATCAGAGCTGAGGCAGCAGAGGATGCTGATGGTGCAGACCATCTCCCAGTACAAGTTCGTCTACCAGGTCCTCATCCAGTTCCTCAAGAACTCCCGGCTCATTTGAGACGGAGGCTGTGGAATAACGATGACAACGGTACTACGAGTTACAAAAGTCAACAAGAGATCATGTGAGCTTCCTTCCTGTCCTCAAAGGAGGAAATAATCTAAGCTTTTATAGAAATCAAACATTTCTTATAATCAGTGTTGAATTAGCTCTTTATTTCCATTTAAACCTGGTCCTTTTTTTTATAAAACATGCGTCAGTGCGTCGTCTCCATGTAGGTCAGGTAAACAAACAACTTGTCTTGGCTGAAGGTTCTTGACGAACATCTTGAGAGGAAATCAGACGTCAGTTTGAGAGACTGTTACGTCTGTATTTTTAGCCAGTATTAGCGTTACGCTGTGTGAACAGTAGGGGGCAGCAGTGTCACTACTACACTCAACCTTCTCATTCTGAGTTTGCCAAACAAAAGTATTTTTCTAATCTGAGTATTGATTCGTTACAGCGAGTACCGACTTCAGCATTGTAACTAAATGTTTTTTTTATTTATTCCTCTAAAGACTGTGGTCACCTTCATCTTGCTGTTGGAAAACACAGCAGTCTCCTGAAATCGTCTTAATTTTGATTCCATTTTATTTTTTAAAACTTTTTAGATTCTTCCTATTATGTTTTTGCGAGTTAAAACATTTATCACAATCACGTTTGTTACCCTAACGTCCAAACGTTAAAGTCATTAAATTGGAAATAATTTATATTGATTATACAATTAATACTGTATATATCTAATGTATTCTGTGCCTTACTGAAATTACAAAAATAATTTTTTTTATTTGGATCTGGTCGCTTTGATGCCTCTAAAAATCATTTATTTGCTCTAGTTTATTATAAGAACAATTCTCAATTTTAACCCAACTTGAAAAAAAAAAACAACTAAACTAAAATACAATCCTTTACTTTGAAAGACAATTTTTTTTTATTTAAAATACATTTTGTGTTCTATGTTACAATAAATCTACTTTACTGAATTTTACTACAATACTGTTGTAAATACTAGGCATGTGTTTATTTTTTTGACTTGGTACTCTTAAAATACCGAAATATAAACTATGCATGCTTTTTTTTTACGTTTCTATGTATATATTAAAGCATATGTTCTTAAATAAGTGTAAGCTTTAGATTATTTTCACATACAGTGATTTTTTTTCTTGTTGCACTTCCCTTGTTTTTGTCAGTATTTTCCTCACATAGCATTCCGCTGTTTCTTTTTATATTTAAGTTTCTGTTCTTTTCCTGGTCAACCTTTCCGATACGCTTCATTCTGATGTGTACATATGTTTTGTATATTCTATTCTRCGTGTTACCGTTTGTTTTCTTTTCTCAGACACGTTGTGCTTGCTTGTTATGCAAAAATAAAGCCTTATTTTCTTTAAGACGTCACCTTTGATGTTATTTCATTAAACGCTCAGTAAACTACTTTGYTTATAAAATTAGTACCTAAAGATTTGAAAATGAGTGGTAGCTGCCTAATTTAAAAATCAAAACAAGAAAAAAAAATGCTCACAGTGTTCTGTAGTCCAACAGCAGCTGCATGATTTCATTTCTTTTCATTTTTGGCCCATCTCTTTACGCACGTCTTTAACGTAGGGGTGATCCTTCCCATGAGCCACCTCCATTATAGCCAACGCCTAAAATAATAAAAAAAAAAAAAAGACCTTTAAGGTGTTTTTTAAAGCCTCGTGTCTACATGTGTGTTAAACTATAAACGACCTTCTTGAACGCGCTGACGGCCTCTGAGTGCCTCTCCACSCCCATGTAGATCCGGCCCATCTTCAGGTACATGGAGGAAACATTCAGGGAGTACGGTGGATACAGCTTGCTGCAGAAGACGCGACACACAAACATGTTTTACTCACAAGTCACTAAGCAAAAAAAAAAAAAAAAAAAATTTGTGAAAATTAATTCACATCCAGTCAATTTTTATTTTCTTATGACAGAAAAAATCCCAAATATTCAGATGCTGAACAAGCTTATAAATCCATTTTATGGTGGGGCTAGAAACGGACGGTTCAGAACTTTTGAAGTAGCGTTCCCATGTTTTGAGCAGTTACTATCTTACCTGTCGTAGATAGATCTTTTAATGGCCACATTTTGGATAAATAGTTTAATTATAACCAAATTGACGAGCTAAAGGCTTGAACCAGCCGTTAGCTTGTTATTCCAAACTGAGGTTCGAAGGTCTATCTCAGTGTTTCCCAAAGTGGGGTCCTGACAAGATTTTCTGAATTAATTACGTTTTTGCCTTAGTTGTTACAAAGGAGTGAGGTTAGTTGTTACAAAAGAGTGAGGTTAGTGTATTTAAAACGGATAAATGTAGTATAAAAATATTGTTACTATGTCCATGTTTTGTTGACCTGATACAAATGTTTATCCTCCAAAAATAGCTAATGGCACAGGTCTCTGCTACTGTTATTTTGTGCGTCAAAAGCTGAAAAGTTTGGGAACCACTGCACTTTGGTTCCCAAAGTTGGGCTTTGGACCCAATTATGGTTCATGAAGCACCTTGGATAATCTCCAGAAATCAATTTAAAGGGTAATAAAATAATTGCTGATGTAATATTTTCCCTATAACTATTACAAAAACACAAAATCAGTATAAATAAGCATTTATATTTGTGTACAAGCTGTTTAGATTGTCAAAAAGCCTGTGTTTTTAGGGTTATTTACGAAGTTCGTGTACTCAGACCAGTAATATTTGGGCTCACAAGTTTTTGCCATGGATATTTTGTGGGTCAGAAGATAAAAAGTTTGGGAACCACTGGTCTATCTTAAACAGGTAAGATAATAACTGTTCATAACATGGTCAGAGAACCTCTTCAAAAATTCTGAACCAACACTTAAGAGGAAATTTTTTTTATCGGATCCAGGATCACTAAAATAAGTCAAAACAATAATTTTTATTTATTTATTAAAAGTACAAAATGTCAAACTAATACTTGATGGTTTGTTACAGGTAAAAGCATTGTGTCTAAAGCTCCAAAAGTTTTATAATTTATTTTCCTGAGCATTAAAAGAAGAGCTTTGAGTCTTCGTACCTGTAAGGTTTGAGGATCTTCTGGCCGTATCTGATGGCTCCGTCGGCGTCCTGCATGTAAATGCAGACGCCCATGGCCTGGTACATCATGTGGAGCATGTAGACGCTGGAGTCGTCAAAGACGGCTCCCATTTCGTCCAGACTCTGTTCGCACATCTCCAGCAGCTCAGCGGGACGTGCTGACGAGTCAAGGCCGAGCCGCATCTCACAAGGCAAAACTAACCCATTAAGAAATATTTATGTTTTTAATAATCCCGCTTTAAAAAAGGATATTTTTAACATGCTTCAGGGCCCGGAATTCTCTGATTTTATTCCTGGCGTAGCGCGTCATGTTGTTGACGACCTGTGGCTCGATGGGGTCGCTCTGCTTACGGACTTTTAACTTCGCATTGTCCTGCAGATGAGGGGGAAACAAACAAAAAATGAAAATAAAAAAGTTTTTTGGGAACGGTTTGTAAAGCAGTTTCCGTTGAAACTTACTTTGGACCTGCTTCTGCACTCCCGACAGTCACAGGTGAAGTAGTAGGACTCTCTCAGCCTGTTGTTTCTGTCGTCTGTTGGATAAAGCAGGTCTATGTAGCTGATGAGCACCTGGAGAGGGAAAAAACAAAAACATAAAAACACATTCACCCTCTCTGTCCTTCATATGGTTCTTGTTATTTGCTGCCATATTACACCCAAACCACAAACACTGACGAGTAAATGCCAGGCAGATAGGCTTATTAATCCACAAACAGCTAAAGCAATGCATGTTACCTTCTGCCTTTTATGCTAGGATTTTAGATGGAGAAATAATAAAGTATTGCCGTTTTGGTCAAACATYATWAAGTTTTGTGCAATTCCAAGAAATWTTTATTGTTTGGAATGACTCTCAGCTACTACCACACAAAAGTTGGCTGAATATTTGTACAACTGAGAGTTGTAGCCATTTTTTGTTGGCTAAGGGTGATTAGCTGCGGCGACCATCTTGAATTAGTTCGAACCCAAACTACCCTTAGCAAAAAGTAGTATATGCAAGTATTCGTTAAGTATAMTTATTTTAAACTAAGAATAAAACTTACTTCCAGTTTACTTTTTATGTACTTATCTGAGATATACGTAACCAAGTTTATCTTAACACTGTCCTTGGTTTGTACTAAAAGTATACTAAAAGTTTAAGTATACTTCATCTATGCTAATATTTCACTTTTCGGCCATGATAAGTTCATTTGTAGTATATTTCAAGATTAAACTAAAAGTATACTTAAAAGAATACTTTCAGTACATTTCGAAGTATACTTTCATAAACTTATTGTGGGCCAATTTTGTCCTAGAAGTATATTTGTTAGTAAACTGCTAGTATAATTATATCAGTGTACATTGTAAATAAAAGTATACTTAAAGAAATACACTTTTATATACTTTAGTATACTTAATGACATGTACTTAAAATATACTTATTTTTTGTAAGTTTATAAACATAAAAAGACATAACAGTGTACTTAAAGTATACTTTTTATAAACAAAAAAAGTCCCAGTTTAGTACACTTTTATATACTTTAGTATACTTAATGACATGTACTTAAAATATACTTGTTTTTTGTAAGTTTATAAACATAAAAAGACATAACAGTGTACTTAAAGTATACTTTTTATAAACAAAAAAAGTCCCAGTTTAGTACACACAAGTATTAAATCAGTACAGCAGGTAAAATAAGTATTGAACACGTCACCATTTTTCTCAGTAAATATATTACTAGAGGTGCTAATGACATGAAATTTTCACCA